GGGGTCATATGCAGAGGTCTCGCACTCCAGGCCTCAAGGGCCGGTGTCCTGCAGGTTTTAGAAATCACCCTGGGTTGACACACCTGAATCAAATGATTAGTTCATTGCCTCTGGAGAAATTCAAGACATGTGGAGGTAATTTAGCCATTTAAATCAGCTGTGTTAGATCAAGGACATATCTAAAACCTGCTGGACACCAGCCCTTGAGGCCTGGAGTTCCCCCACCCCTGATCTAAATATTTTATGACTGTACTCACCAAAAAAGAAAAAGAGCCTCAGGTAAAATGAAGCTTTTCCAAAAGAAATGACATTCTCAAAGACTCAGAGAAAGTCAAAGTTTTCTACTTTCTCAAAACATTATTATTATTATTACTACCCTTAATTCATTTTTCTGCACTACAAATTTAACTTAAAACAAAACACGCTGCACAAAATATGCTGGTGGAATAAATATTTCACTGGCTGGGTTTGGAAAAACACAAACCAGAGCTTTTTTGTGGCATTTGGAATTTAAGGAATCCTAAATGTATTACAAGCATATAAAAATGTATGCACTTCAAATAAGCACAGACACACATTTAGTAAATTTAGTAAACTACATAGTTATTTTTGTCTTTTAGAGATGGAGCAAAACAAAAGAAGCTTGTAAAGAATGATTATAAACTGCTTATTTGAAGTAAAATGTAAGTTCTATAAATTACAGCAATGACAGAAATGGTTGACATAAACAAAACAAAACAAAGTTTAATTATTAAAGATTTAGACCTGACTGATTGTCTCTGGTCCTCGCTCTCCTACCAACAGATGAATTGACATAGTGCCGTAGTTCCATTCTTCTTTATTGACAGTCTTGAACTGATGTTCAGCGAACGTGTTCTGGCTTGTAAATTGTGACTATAATAGTTTCTAAAGTAGTTAGTTCCTTGATTTGTTCAAAGGGGAGGGTAAATTCATCATTTCCTTTCGTGGCCAAGTGATTTGAGACTAAAATTAACAATGAGTAAATGTGACATCATCACTTGCTTTTCATTTTGCTTTGAGTTTTTCAGAGGGGCAACTTATTGTTTTAGCTTGTTTTGTATTGCTTAAAAAATGTTAAAAAATTTACCAAAGTGAAAGCTTTGAAAAGAATGTTCCGTCATAACATTTACTCTACCATCATCGGTAGCACGTGAAAGAACCTTACACAACCACAGCGACTTTTGTTGTGATTTGGCGCTATATAAATAAAATTGAATTGAATTGAACCTGGCACCTCCTCCTTATGCTGGTCACCAGTTTGGTCCCACACTGCTGTGAGATGGTATCCAATTCTTCTACCAGCATTAAGCGCAAGTCTGCCAGTATAGCTGTGTTGGTCGCTCTTGCACAAAAGTCAAGCACAAGCTGATCCCACAAGTTAGCACGGGACTGAATGCAGTAATTTTTTACTCCCAAATTCTGGAGGTAGTCAGTGGTAAATCCTGCTTTGTTGGGGCAATGTTGCCATTTTGGAGGATAGAGTTTCTCTGGTTGAGGAAATGCCATATCCCATCTCAGTATTTCTGTGGATGAAATCCAGTGATGACAAGCCTCGTTTTTGGTGGAGATGAGAAAAACTGTTACCCTAGCAGTCAGCATAGCGCTCTCCGTGTCTTTTCCACGTTTTAAACCTGCGATCCAACTGCCATAGGCCGTATCTGGACTCATCACTCAACACAACATTGATCAACATGTTCAGGTTTCAGCGCACGTGTTGCAGACACCAGCGCAAATGAGCGTGATGGTGTAGGGCAGTCATTGCAGGCCTCCTGGCAGCCATGTGAGACCAGAGACTGGCTGTGTGCACTCTGTTCTGGATTGTCTGCATAGAAAGCTCAAAAATGCTCCCAATTTTCATCTGATAGTAAGTTGTTTTTGACAGCATTGTAGATATTTATTTAGCTATACAAATAATGATGTTTTCTAATTCTTCAGCCATGAATAAATGAAGAAAAAGGGACGACGTCATTTAGATGACGCAGGAGGCTGTCAGCATAAACAAAACACAAAGCAGTATGTTTTCATGTAGTAAAAGTAGTGGAAGCAGATTTCTGTGTGGATGCGTGTTTTTGTGTGTGTCCTTTCGTTTCTGCAAAAGTCATTGCATGCCATTACTCTGTATCACACTGTCATGCAGTTTTACTTCCCTATGAGTTCATGAACTACACTGTTGGTATTTAAAGCACTTAATGTTGTCCTGCTATATATACATCTA